GATCTTTCGTTTTTTTTTTCTCCCATGGGTTATTTCCTCAAAGGCGCCAGGTGACAGCTCTTTTGAGTGTCCTCCTTTTGCTCAGGGCCAAGAGAGAAAAGGTGGAAAAATGCTTAAAACCCCCACATAAAGGTCTTTTCTCCAGGTAGACTCCTGCCCCACCCTGCCTCTTTTTCTTTTTCCCACATGTTTTCAGTTACCTTTTGTATTTTGTTCAGAATTTCAAGGGTGGGAAAGAAAGGTTAGTGGGCCTCCTCCATTTGACTGTGTCTACAATCCAAAGTCAAAGATTTAAAAAAAAATAATTTATGTATTTTGCCATAGGGCATGTGTGCTCATGAGAGCGAGGGGCGAGGAGAGAGAGGAAGTGAGAAATCATTCCCAAGGGGGGATGGCCATCTCTCAATCCCCTCTCTTCCATTCTCCTCTCAGGAGTTCAGGCATGAACACACACATGCCCTGTGTGATCTTCAAGCTGCTAGGTCCAGGACTTGAACTGTGGTTGGCCACATGGGAGTCCTGCACCTTAACCACCACGTCACCTGCTGGCCCCACAGCTGTATTGTTTTTAAGAATCCCAAACCGGCAACAACCAGCTGTCCTCCAACATTAGAATGAAGAAACTATAATATATGAATTATACAATGGCATAAAATGCAATGAGGATGAACATACTACAGTGACGTGTATCAGCAATACTGGTGAGTTCTCAGGATCTTGGTTGTGAAGCGGCTGAGTCTGAGAGAAGACCATGTTTAGCCTTCAGTCAAAGAAGAAACCATTGGTCCTCAATTAAAGAAGAAAAAATACAAATTCCTCCTACCTAACATTGAAAGGTTGAAACAACGTTAGAAGTCAGGATAGCTGTTATGCGTAAGGGGGGGAAGGAAGTCATGATTGGCAGGTGGCCTAGGAGAGCGTTAGGGGGATTTCCACCTTCTTTTTCCTTTTTTAAAAAAGTTATTTAATTTTATTTACTTATTTATTTTTAAAAATTTGACCAGAGTGAGTGAGAGAGAGACATAGAGAAGGAAAGTGAGAAAGCAAGACACCAGGTCTGGGACTCGAACTGTGGTTGGCTGTGTGAGAGTGCCCGGCACCTTAACCACCACGCCACCTGCTGGTCCCCGTACGTTCTATTTTTCGTACATGGTGGTTACACATGCACTCGGTATGTCTTTGAGCTGAGCATTTGTACATTTTTCTGTACAGATCTGACACATTCGCTTTAGAAGCACTTGAAAGGTGAAACCATCTGGTTGTAGATGAAGGCTGTTGCAACGGGCCTACGCACTAAGGGGAGCTGACCAGGACACAGGCGCCTCGTGGAGTCCGAGGACAGGAATCAGACCGGGCCTCACGGGGCGACAGCCGAAACACGGGCAGAACCTTCTCTCAGTGTGAATGCTCCGGAAGTGGGCACTGGCGTGAAGCCGCCACCCTCTGTGACACACGCTGGCGAGGTGAGCGTCACTGCCGGCCCAGGACTCGGTCCCTTACGGGGGCAGCTCCGATTATGCTGTAACAACACAGGCTATGTATGATGACTTGCTGAGGGACCATCAGGAAAAATGGTCCTCCCTGATTCCATCCGCGTGGTTCTCAGAGACGCTACCGTTTCAGTGTAACCCCAATGTCCCTGGCTACAGGTTCTAGTCCAGGCAGGGGAATCTGGCCTGTGTTGGGGAATCCTACTCGAATTCTTGGATTTGGGTTGACAGTTGTATTTTTGCATAGGTACTCGCAGGGATGGAGGGCAGAAATGTTTAATAGCTCTTCAAGTGACCTTAAATTTTCAGAGCCCTAATGTGGACTTTCTCAATACTTTATTAAGTGGGCGGCTATATCTCTGAAGGCATATTTTTCAACACTGGCGTTGTATTTACTGCACTGTATTCACGGTCAGCGTGTAACTTGGACTGCTGTTGTGTGTGGGGAGACACAGAGCGAACATCAGCAAAGGAAAGGAGCGGAGGACTGCTCATACAGGCTCGACGAAGTCTGAGTTAGCGTTTGTACTGTTTCGGAATCGAGGTGGATCTTTTTGCAGTGGAATACGTTTAAACCATGCCAGGCGTCCGTGGCTCCGGTTAGGAAGAGTTTCACTGTCAAACATGACCGTAATTTTAATTTTGTGAGGAAAACATAAAACCAGAGACTATTCTCACATTTAAGTGCCTGACTACCTATGGGAGTAGTGCTTTCTTTTTATAATTTAGTATGTTTCTCTGATTTTTACATTAGACATGTATTTTTAAAAAGTTAATGTTACTGTAATACAAACTACTGGGTTGTCAGAAAATTCCTAACACATCTTTGCATAGAAAAACACAGAAGAAATATGTCATGACTTTTCCCAAGACCCAGTGTGCACGATGATTTCATGATGGAATTTCTGCACTCAGGGATTAAGATTTTCCAGAGCTGGGGCAGCAGGTGGCGTGGAGGTTAAGGTACTGGACTCCCCCATGGCTGACTGTGGTTCAAGTCCTGGACTTGGCAGCTTGAAAATCACACCGGGATTGTGTGCATGTGTGCCCAAAATCCCAGGAGAAGGGGTTGAGGTGTGGCCATTCCCCTTGGGGATGATTTCTTTCCCTCTCTGGGAAGCATATGTGTCCTATTAAAAACATAATAATAATAATAATAAAGATACTCCTGGACCAAGCTTTCAATGGCGTGTACACATCTGTGCAAAAGCTAGTGTCAGCATGTTAAAATGAAGCATTTTCGGAAATTTTAAAAAAGGCTTTCTTGGGACCAGCAGTTGGTGTAATGGCTATGTTGCTGGACTCCCATGTAGTTGACCACAGTTCGAGTCCCAGACCTGGTGGCTTAAACTCATGCCAGGTGCGTGTACGTGAGTGCCCAAGATCCCGAGAGGAGAATGGAGAAGGGATTGCAGCGTGGCCATACTCCCTGGGGGTTGATTTCTTGCTTTCTGTCTCTCTGTGCCTTTTTGATGAGCGCACATGCCCTATAGCAAAAACCTACCCCCCCACACACATAAAAAGCCTTTCTTTCTTCCTACTTTATTTGTATGTATGTGTATATATATAATGTGTATGTGTGTGTATATGTATATATATTCTTTCTTTTTTTTTTTTAAAGAGAGATTTTTGCTATAGGATGCATGCACTTGCCCAAGAAACAGAAAGGAAGTGAGAAATCATCCCCTGGGTGGGGATGGCCACATTGCAATTCCTTCTCCATTTTCCACTAGGGATTTTAGGCAAACATGCACATGTACTTGGTGTGAATTTTAAGCCTCCGGGTCTGGGACTCCAACTGCGGTCGACTATGGGGGAGTCCAGCAATGTAACCACTACGCCATCTGCTGGTCCACCTACTTAGTATCTTGATACCATGTTACATATTCTGGATGGTGAGACTGTAGACAACTATCGTTTTCACCTTTTACCTCTTAATATTTTAAATTTATTCGTGAAAGCAACTGAGTCTATACTGCCTCCAAAAATGAGGACAGTGAAAGTCTTTTTTCCTTATTTTTAAAGAGGAGACGTTAAGGTGACCCAAAGTAGATCTAGAATGGGCTTGCCACTAGCATCCGGTCAGCAGTTTACCGCGGAGTATAGTGAGCGAGGCTCTTAAGTGACGTCTGTCCACTGTCACTGGCAACCAGGCCACTTGGCCCACGCGAACTCAGGCTTAGGGTCACGCAGGACACGCCTGTGGTTGCTGGCTCTGGGCCCACACTCATGTCCACGTCCTGCTTCCTCCACCCTCAGGCTCATCTTCCTGACATCCACTCTGCTTCTGTACCTCAGAGCCAAACTGGGACACATCGCGTTTCACAGAGCCCCCCACATGGCTCCCTGCTGCTCTGGTAGCTAACGAGCCGTGAACTTATTCCCTGATTGACAAGGACGGTGACACTTAATTTTCACTGGTCCTTAAAGTTCTTGGTTTGGTTTGGGAGAAAAGTTCAAATAGGAGGGTGTCTTTTTTTTTTTAGTGTCTTACCAGTGAGACTAATTGTAACATGGGGCACAGCAAATACTTCTCAAAGGAACATGGGCGCTGGTTAAACAGCATGCAGTTCTTGACTTTTCTACTCATAAAGATGACACGATCACCTAAACACTCATATTAGTTTGAAAATAAATTCTATTTCACCTCTTAAAAACTCTCCTTCAATGGCGTCTTGCTTTCTAAAATACACACACTAACTTTTTCTAATTGAACGTCAATTCACGGCAGGTGCAGAAGTTCCCAGAACCAACCAGTTGGGAGCAAACTGTAAACTGCTCCGAGCAATCCACATACGAGGTAACTAGGACAGCGAGAACAGGAGATGCCCAACCCCATGAAGACCCACGTCTGAAAGGGCAACAGGATTAAGGGCTGCATGTCAGAAAGACTTCCGAAAACCAAGAGTAGGTAACTGGGTGAAGGGGCATCTTATCGTATCCAGAAAGTAAACGCTTGGAAAATCAAATATAAATTTAATAATACACGTCATGGTCAGGCTGTTTATTAGGAGGCAACCACATATACAAGTTCGGCTACAGAAATGTTTGCGAATCAAACTGCATGTGAGCGACAGCACCGTGCGCAGTGCGGGAGCGGGCACCGGTCCCGCCGCGGCCGGGGGGCAGTCCAGGCCGTTCTCGCGTTACACAGACATCTGGGGCCGCGCAGCTCTCTGATTTCCTTTCAAAAAAACTTTGTTTATAAAAATGATGTATTGAGATAATAATTGTAAAAAGTATCTGACAATCACGAATGGTCCCCGGTTTTACAAAATGTGATTTCCAGGATATGAAAACTGAAAAAAGTCAACTCTTCAGAGAGTGTTTTATATTATACAAACACGTTTCTGTAGAAAAATGATCCAGCAAATGCTCGAGTTAAGAATATTTATATTTTTCCAATTTTTACACTTTTATTAACACACTTACAAAAAATAACATTCAAACACTGAGAAAATTAAATAACTTTGGAAGCAGAGCTCAGTTTTCTGCTTACATACAAGTGACAATTCTGGGCAGTTGGCACGAAATTAATCAACATTCATAAAACCCTTATGACTATATAGCAAACAGAAGTTAAATCATAGGCACTAGGTTCCCAAATCCACATTTCTCCTGTATGACCAACCACAGTAAATCCTTAGATTTTCCCAAACAGAAAAATTGGCAATGCACAAAGGCTTTCTAGTAAAAAGGCAATTTTTCTCTTTAGGAACCTGAAAGCCAATAGTCTGTGGTAGTACAACGGCAGGGAAATTAACACTTTACCAAACTAAGATGCAAAATATGCTTAACAAGTGATGAAATATTTTAATTAAAAAAAAAATAGACTTTTTTTTTTCTGATGCAGCCATTTAAAAACAAAGTGAAATAACCTGAATACTCCTTTGAAACTGATTATCTAACTTAAAAACCGTAATGGGTATTTCTAATTGGGTTAAGTTCCTTTTGATTAAGATTGCAGCATACGTAGTTTTGACATGTTGCGCTGAAACGGAGACCTGTTGTGTATACGCAGTCGTTAAAAAAGACACAGTGGCTAGTTCTCTTCCTCGGATTTACACGAGACACCCCCCTCCCCCCAAAGCAGCTGCTTTAGCTTCCTCTGAAAAGCAATGTTTTTTTTTTTTAGTTCACCATCATGTAGAATTCTGGTGCAATCCTCTCCTAAGCCGCCCATCACCCCCAGCTCGGGAGTCCAGGCTCTTCCTCAGTCCACACCACACACAGGCCAGCGGCCGGCATCTTGTGGCTGTGCTGGGTGCAGGACCCCCTCCTAGTCCAGCGGACACACTGCCATGGCGACGGCCACGGCAGGGTGGGGGTCTCAGGTTCAGCTCTCTCAGCCTGTCCACCTCAATGCTACCCAGCCCTCCCTTTCGCGCTCAATGTCTTTTGCCAACTTACAGAAGGTCTTCGATGAACAGGAAACGAACTTGAGTTAAATCTCTAAAATCTGTCGGGTGACCCGACTGCAAATATTTCAGAGCTGTTCAAATGAAGTATTAAAAACAGACCTCACAATCGAAAATGAGAAGCCTGTTACAGAGGAAGTTTTAGTCTAGTAAAACCAAAACAGGCGGTTTCAAGGATACGTCTAAGAGCCAGAGAAACTTAACTAGTTAGAGCCATATGCAGTCGGTTGCTTTGTTTTGTTGTTTTTCACTAACATGAAAATATCAATGTAAGGCAGAATCTAAGTCAAAGGGACAGTATTTTTAACAGATGTCTTACAGTCACTCAGCTTACAGTGGATCAGCTTCAGTAAGACTTAGCAGGCTGTTTCCCTACCACTAACAAACCGTCACGCTGTTTAAAAGCAATGACAACTGTCGCGGCCAGCGACTTAGTCGGGTGAGTGCACAGACCTCCCTCTCTCGTGTGGTTCGGCCCCAGGCGGTAAGCACGGAGGTCTTGTTGCATCAAGAGTTGCTACCTGCTCTTCCCGCCACGGGACCTGCTGGTGGGAACAGACTCTTAGTTCCGTGGCGGACAGCGGCATGTGAAGAAGTGGGCTTCAATAGCAAAGGCCATCTTTCCTGAGCCGGGAACTGTGAAGTGCAGCGAGACTGTACAACGGGTATGAAGCCCTTCTGGCAATCACAACACACACACAGTGCGACGTGTGGATGCGAATGACGGGGCATGACTCACACTACCTGGGGGTGGTGGAGTGCGAGCTACACCCAAAACTCAACACGAAGTCAAATGAAAACTGACGGATCTGCACGGCCTGCAGAGCTCTCCCACACCCGGGGCTGAGCTTTAACTCGAGGCCAGGTCGCTCCCTCCCACCTGCGGCCTCGCAGTCTGCAGGGCACTACTGAGCTGGCATCCTGGTGGGACACTAGATAATTAGTCAGAATATGAGTTCTCATGAACACACGTATTTATTGGAACTATGGATACAGTAAATTAGGTCGAACGTGAGCTTTTGGATAGCTGGAATTCACCGTTTTCTTGTGCACAAAGGTACTCTCTCATTTTCAAATGGGCATTTCTCTTTGGCATCCAGTAGGCATTGGCCCAGATATTGGGCTCTGTCAAATAGTAAAAAATCAACTGAGTTTCTATTAAACAAAACTAAAAGTGATTCCATGGAGAGTGATTGTATGATTACCAAACACATCTGATGTTAAATGTCATTAAAGTGCTGCTGACCATCTCTGCCGGCTTGTGCTAGTTAGGGCAGAGAGGGCGGGATTCGGCAAATCCCAGGAGTCTTATCTGAACAGTCTGCATATAAAAGCTGTTTTTAGCCTGGTGAAGGGTATCCGTGAAGCCGTGGACCTCTGCGTTCTTGTCTCGCTGGTCAGTAACAGCCGTCTTTCCAACTGTCATCTTTCATGCTGCCGTAGGCTTTAGGGGCTGGCAAGGATCTGAAACAAGCAACATTACAGTGTGACCCGCATCTCAGTGACAGCGCCACACTGCTGACGACATACCTTCCTGGCGGTATCAGCCCACCACGGCTGTTCTAGGAGGCCCTAAGACTGAGCTCCGGGCACCTTTCCCACGCTCAGCACTTCACCATGGCCATGTTTTACTGGACGCCGGGCGACTCCTCGCACTCCTTTTTGTTAACACGGCTACTACAGAAATAAAGGCAAGGCCTGAGCCCCTTCTACCCCACGGACGACCTCCTTCATGACCTGAGCCCCTTCCACCCACGGACGACCTCCTTCGTGACCTGAGCTCCCTTTTACCCCACAGACGACCTCCTTCGTGACCTGAGCTCCCTTTTACCCCACGGACGACCTCCTTCATGACCTGAGCTCCCTTCCACCCATGGACGACCTCCTTCGTGACCTGAGCTCCCTCACGGATGACCTATTTCGTGACTCTTGCTGTGTTAGACCTATGATGAGTGTGCCCTGAGAGGCGCGGTGTCACCATGGATACCTGGTTTAGAGGACTACGATGTCGGACGTGCTCAGAACTGAAGGGTCTACCACCTCCTTCATGACCTGAGCTCCCTTCCACCCACGGACGACCTCCTTCGTGACTCTTTCTACCCCACGGATGACCTATTTCGTGACTCTTGCTGTGTTAGAGGCATGATGAGTGTGCCCTGAGAGGCGCGGTGTCACCATGGATACCTGGTTTAGAGGACTACGATGTCGGACGTGCTCAGAACTGAAGGGTCTACCAATTATATCTGCAGATATTATTCATTATATGTCAGTCACACATACACTTCACTTTTTTTTTTTGGAGAGGTTTTCGCTATAGGCACATGCACTCGCCAGACAGACAGAGACAGAGAGACAGAAAGTGAGAAATCACTCCACAGGGGGGATGGCCATGCCACAATCCCTTCTCCTCCATTCTCCTCTTGGGATCTTGGGCACGCACGCACACGTGCCCAGTGTGAGTTTAAGCCACCGGGTCTGGGATTTGAACTGTGGTCAACTACATGGGAGTCCAGCGACATAGCAATTATACCAACTGCTGGTCACCATACAAATCACTTAATCTTAGTAAATTTCAATATCCTTCTCTGAAAGATAGGGGTAATAAGAGCATCTATTAATTTCACGTTACTGTGAGGACTAAATAAGGTGAGTTTACGTTATTTGCACAGGGTAGAGAAAAAAAGCTGTTGGGCCCAGCTCCAAGGCCTTATGGTTAAGGCAGCTGGATCCCACATGGCCGACTGCACGGTTCAAGTCCCAGACACAGTAGCTTGAAGAATAATACATAGGGCACATGTGCATGTGTGCCCAAAATCCTGAAAGGAGGGAGGGAGAGTGGAGAGGGACTGAGCGTGACCAATCCCCACGGGGAGTGCTTTCCGTCTCTCTCTCCCTCTCCCTGGAGAGTGCACATACTCTTCAGCCAAAAGATTGAGAGAGAGAGAAAGCTATTGTACTCTACTACTGACTTGGGAAATGTTAATCTTAGAATTAAGGAAATATGGGGGGCTGGCAGGTGGTATGGTGGTTAGGGGTGCTGGATTCCCACATGGTCGACCATGGTTCGAGTCCCAGAACTGGAAGTTTGCTTTCTCACTTTTTCTGTCTCACTCTGTCTCTGGTCAAATCAATCCATCAATAAAGTTAAAAAAAAAAATTAAGGAAGTATGGGTAATTTGTTTTAAATGCTAATAGGTAAAAACTTTATTTTCATGCAAATAAATATTCAGAGTTTAACTATAGTTGACACTGCAATTTACTCGGGGCAATCCTATCCTAGAGATGCACGGCTCTCAACAGGCTGGGTTCAGATCACCTGAAGACTGAACAGACAGACAAGACCTGGAGCCTCACACCGTGTCTACAAATCAGACTTGGGGCTGGCGGATGGCAGAGTGGTTGGGATGCTGGACTCCCACACGGCTGACCGTGGTTCGAGTCCTGGACCTAGCAGCTTGCTTTCTCACTTTCCCTCTCTTTCTGTGTCTCTCTTCTACTTAAATTAAAATAAATAAATAAATAACAATGATGAGTAAAATTAAATTTTAAAAAATTCTTTGACTCTTGGGACTAAAACTTAGGCGTCAACATTTATATACATTCCTGATGATTCCAGCTTGTAGCAGATCGGAAAACCACTCTGACAGACTACATGCACACCTGGCAGCGGGAAGCTTTATCTTAAACATCGCCCTAGACTGCGACGTGCCTTACCTATCTTTACTGAGTATCATTGTATTAAACATGAATGAATACTGCCATCAAACTGAGTGGTTTGATGACTTTTCTAGTTCTCTGAGCTGACTAGTCATGTTAGGTCTCCAGAGAAATTAAATCTGAACCAAACTGGCAGATTCCAGAGGAGGATTTCTTCACAGTGAAGTCACGTTTCATTGGAGCTGTACGAAGACTCCAGCAGGTACCACCGTGACCCTGCGCTCACTATCACATGTAGAGGCTGTTAATCCGGGTTACCCGCTTTCACATGCTCAGGAACCCCGAAGCCCGGCGCTTGCCACCTACCTGCGAACAGGCTGTGCAAGCTTGCTGCGAGGCACTGGGATGCCCCCAGCAGAAGGGGCACTGGGTCTGGGCAGGCCGCTCCTCATGGCGGGGGCCCCTGCCGGCCCGGGGCGGGCGGGGCCGGTGGGGTTACCCGCTTTCACATGCTCAGGAACCCCGAAGCCCGGCGCTTGCCACCTACCTGCGAACAGGCTGTGCAAGCTTGCTGCGAGGCACTGGGATGCCCCCAGCAGAAGGGGCACTGGGTCTGGGCAGGCCGCTCCTCATGGCGGTCGTCCCTGCAGGCCTGGGCAGAGCGGCGCTGCTGAGGTTGCTGGGGGGGTTTGCCGGGACCATGTTCTGCGCCACGGGAGGCCCAGGTGAGGAGGTGGTCTGTGTGAGCTGTGCCGGGTCCTGGCTACCAGAGCCGTGGTTGCTGAACGCTTTCACGGGTTGCCGGAGAGCCAAAGGAGATGGTGCTGCCGGGGAGCGGAACTTGCCTGGAGAAGGTACTGCGGGCGGCAAGGAGAAACCATGGTGAGCGTGAGCCACACGCCCGCGAAGCCCCGGCCCTGCCCTGCGTGTGGGGACTGGGCACCGCACACCTGCAGCCACAGAGCCCTGTGGACATGCAAGGTCAGAGCCTGTCTCTAGGCTGTTACAAGGGGAAGGGCGACTAGTCAGTTCTGAATAACCGACTCCTTCCTCAGGGCGTTACAACAGCCCTTGACCAAGTGTCTTCCTGAGGCCAGCTGGGATCCCTGAATACCACACTCAGCCTCTCACCTGGGCCACAGTGGACGTCTGGGGGTGGACTCAGGCGGGCACGTGGGGTCCTGTCTAGAGTGAAGCACACCCTCCCGGCCCATCCAGGAGCAGTCCCGGAAGCCCCCAAGGCCCTGTCCTGCAGTGCGGCCCAGCATGGAGGGACATTTCTGTACCCGCTCCAACTGCTGGGCCTCGGAAGCAGGCACGCCACAAATGCGGGGCCTCTCGTTAGGTACGAGAAGCCGCTCGATAAAGATTGCGCGTTTTTCTGGAATGTCAGCTCTACTGTACTAAATGCTTTCGTATTAAAACACATGCTGATAAATCAAAACATGAAATACATCATTTGCATTAGGTTTTAAGACAAAGACGTTTTAAAACACATTTTTAAAGTGGTGACGGGCGCTTTTCCTTATAAATTGAGACCTCCCGGGGAGACAGCCGCCCTCCTCTGCGAACCCCACTCTGGAAGGGGCCCACCCACGCGGGCTGTGCGCACACCATGGAGAGCCGCACACGCTGTGCACAGATACGACCTGCACACGCTTTACCGAGCGAGCGCTTCAGGGCTGGGGTTCAGGGGGAATAAGGGAGAGGGAGAGCGAGGAGGGGGTTAGAGAGACACAGAGGAAGGGGAACGGAACCGGAAGGGATCACCTTCTCACACAGCCTCTCCCTTGTGTCCTGGCTGCTTGAGGACACGGGTGGAGAAAGCTCGGGCCAGAGACTTGCTCCTACGCCTGAGGCAATGATCGCTTCAGACAGTTCATCCTCACTCCTACCAACCCCAGATGGACAGTACAGGTCCGCCACAGCAGGGTGAGGGGGAGGGGGGTCCTTGGGAGGAGGACAGAGAACACGCCTTAGCTTCCAAACCCTGCCCGGGAGGAGCGTCACCTCCACCTCCTGTGACACCTTTTTCTGCAGCCCCTCTCTTCCCAGCCGGCCCTGCCTGCCCTGCTGGACCAAGTCCCAACGACAGCAATGCGGAGCTGTGTGACGCTCGGCCCAGCGCTTCATGGGCTCAGCCACGTCTGGCTGAGACACCGCAACCATGACGCTCAGGACTGACCGTGTGTCAGAATCCCAAGGGGATTTTTTAGAAGTACACACCTGTACACACCGTCGTCCCCCGAGTGCATAATCTGGGACAGAAGACTTACCCTCCTGCTGAGAACCCTTTAAAACTGGACAAAACATAAAAATCACTTTTCTACTTTTTAAATTGGGGAGCGCATGCCAAGAAGAGACAGAGACAGAGAGAAAGGCACCAGTGGGGACAGTCACGCAGCACTCGCTCTGTCCACCTCCCCGTGCTGGGGCTGGGGCTGGGGCTGGGGCCGGGAGACTGCGGTCGGCCATGTGGGTGTGGCCCCTTAGCCACTGACTGAACTGCGGTGCTGGCCTGGAAACACTTCCAGATGCTGGCCAACAGGCAGTGCAGGACGAGGACCCTGAGGGGAGAACAGACAACGTGAGCCTCCATCAGCTGGCTTTGGGCTGTCTGGACATGCTTAAAAAACTTAGTTTCTTCTGAGAGAGAGAGACAGAGACAGACACCCCAGCAGTGTCCCGTCGCAGTAGGCCCCCAGCCTCAGCTAGCGTGGACCAGTGTGCACAGGGAGGCTGTGGGCATGGCCTGACCCTCGGTGCGAGCCCAGCCTCGGGAGCACCGCCCTCGCTGCGCCCTCACTGCCGCCCTGGACAGCTCTGAGCCCAGGGCAGGGCTGGGACCTTCGGTGTGAGCCCGGCCTCGGGGGCACTGCCCTCGCTGCACCCTCACTGTGCCCTGGACAGCTCTGAGCCCAGGGCAGGGCCGGGACCCTCCGTGTGAGCCCAGCCTTGGGAACACCACCCTCGCTGCGCCCTCACTGCCGCCCTGGACAGCTCTGAGCCCAGGGCAGGGCCGGGACCCTCCGTGTGAGCCCGGCCTTGGGAACACCACCCTCGCTGCGCCCTCACTGCCGCCCTGGACAGCTCTGAGCCCACAGCTGAGCTGGGCTCTCAGGCAGATCGACATTGTCCTGTGGGATTGAGAGGAGGAACACCAGAATTTGGAAGTGCAGTAGCCCAGAAGTGGCGGCTGCTCGGAAGACCTCTGAAAGTCAGCGGAGGGTCTGCTTCAGCCCTACCTGTGTGCTGAGCCATGGGGTACAGGGTGCAGCTCCCCGAGATTGGGCAGAGGAGGCTCGGACGCTGAAAACCAGACTAAGACAGCCGAGCGCAGACCAGTCAGCACAGAAGGTCCTTACTGGACACCCCGAGTCCTCCACAGGGTCGGGCCTTTGCAAGAGGGTGACCAGCCCTTGATGAGAGGCCAATGCAGCTCACAAACAAGCTTACAGAGCAGAGGTCATAAACTACTGCTCATGGGCAAGCGAACTGTCTCTGTAAACAAAGTTTTACTGAAACACAGTGACACGCATTGTCTGGCGGCTGGCAAGTGGCAATGACAGGGCCGAGTAGCTGCAACAACGGCCCAGCAGCACAGCCTAACCTACTGCTCGGTCCTTCAGGAAATGCTCATTAACCCTGGCTATAAAGGATCAAATGGGCCCATAAATACCCGCTTGCTGTTAACAATGTCCAATAGGTACATTTTCTAAAGAGATTTTTGCTCACTGGAGAGAGAGACAGAGAGACAGAAAGCGAGAAATCACCCCCCGAGGGGATGGCGAGGGGATGGCCACACCGCAATCCCTTCTCCATTCTCCTCTTGGGATCTTGGGCACACGCAAGCTTCTGGTGTAAGTTTTCAGCCACTGGGTCTGGAACTCGAACTCGTTCTGCGGGTCTCCAACATTTTTTTTTAAAAGATTTACTGCATTTTATTTATCATTATGTTTTAATTTGCTACAGAGCACATGCAGTCACCAGACTGAGAGACAGAGACAGCGAGGGAAAGCGAAAAAGCAAGCCACCAGGCCTGGGACTTGACCTGCAGCCAGTATGTGGGAGTCCGGTGCCTTAATGGCCGTACAACCCGCTGGCCCTCCAGCTAGATTTCTAAAAAGATAATAAAATTCAGCACAGAACAACGTCAAACTCTAGAATGCCCACTATTCAATAAGAAGTTATGAAACGGGGTCAGCAGATGGCATCGCGGTCACATCACTGGGCTCCTACATGGAGTCCGTGGTTCGACCTCCAGACTCGGTGGCTTAAAAATCACACCAGGTGCGTGAACATACATGTGTGCCCAAGATCCCAGGAGGACAGAGGAGACGGGGCTGTGGTGTGGCCATCACCCCGGGGCTGATTTCTCACTTTCCCTCCCACTGTCTCTCAAGTGAGCACACCCTAAAGCAAAAAAAAAAACTCTAAAAATAAGAGAAAGAGTAACTAAACACATAAAGAAGCAGGAAAGTGATCAACAAGCAAAAATGAGCCAATACGGAGACCGAGGGGTACAGGGGGGGCCCGCGGCTCAGCGGCCACGTGCTGTGTGGGAAGCAAGACCTGCAGGGCTGACCAGGGTTTTAGTCCCAGCTCCTCGGCTTGGAAACATGCCAAGAACACGCATGCCTGGGGTCTGGAAGAGATGAAGAAATGGAAGAAAAAGGATGCAGAGTAATCAGGCCCCTTTAGGGGAACTGCTCTCTCTCTCATACCCCGTATCCAAGGAAAAAGGCAACAAGGATGACTGTGTTGGTAGGCACACTTTTTTTGGTGGTAGAGGGGGAGATATTTTTGCCATAGGGAACTCACCGGAGAGACAGAGACAGAAAGTGAGAAATCACCCTCCAGGGAGGATGGCCACACCGCAATCCTTTCTCCTCCATTCTCCTCCTAGGACCTTAGAAAACCACACACATGCCCGGCATGAGTTTCAAGCATCCGAGTGTGACACCTGCATCATGTCCAGTGACTTAACCACTACACCACCTGCTGGTCCCGGTAGGCAAGCATCTGAAAACATTATTATAGAGATGACCAAGGAAGTAAATTAAACGTAATGGGGAGAGATTTTATGAAGAACTAGATGGAACTCCCCCCCCCATCTCACACACACACACACACACACACACACAGAAGGAAAGTGAGAAAGCACCCCAGGCAGGCAAGTCATGCTGCAATCCAGTCTCCGCCACCCCCTCTCCGTTTGGGCACAAGCACGTGCCTGGCACGTTCTCTAACACTGGGCTCAGGGCACGAGCTACCCAGCCAGCCACATGGGAGCTAAGTTGCGCTGGGGCCACACCACGGGCTAGCCCCAAGTTAGCGCTTTTAAAGATGAAAGCTTACAGTAGGCCCGAAATGTTTACTTCATAGCAGTATGGATGGTGCAAGAGAGGCATCTGAAGACATCACAAGAATGTCTCAAGAGAAGACAAGACTCAAACAACAAAAAAGGGCAAAAGTGCAGGGACCTAGGGGATGCTACTGAGTGGGCTCCTATACACAACTGAGCTCCGATTTCAGGGAGGAGCAATGAGCAGGAGAGGAGACAACACCAGGGAACGGCCAGGGGCCGAGAGGGCCGACTACTACTGTCCCGATTTAGCCTGCACCCACTGTACCCACGTGCTACCAGCCGCATACACCCCGCGAGTGTGTGTGAGTACTCACGTCAGGACCAGCAGGTGGTGTGCTGCTTAAGGCGCTGGGCTCCCACATGGCCGACTGTGGTTTGCGTCCTGGACCTGGTGGCTTGCTCTCTCTCTTTCTCTCTCGTACATGTGCCCTGTAGCAAATTTTAAAATAATAAATAAAATTTGGGACCAGCAGGTGGCATGGTGGCTAA